CTCAGTAACCCTCCCTAGAACCACCCATATTACGAGTTCTGATTAAAAAATAGGTGGTCCCGACCTAAGCAAGCCACCTGAGGCCCATGGCTCCAGGACACAAAGGATGACAGTTGTGATGTTGACTCAGCCTGTTGAGTTCTAAATCCAAAAAGCAAAGTGCCCACACTGAGAAAGGGCCCGATCATGAAACACAAACCAAAAGCAAGCAGCAAGAGTTTGTCTTCCTCCTTTAAGTCAAATATAGGGCCAAGGAGGCAGCCATAGCAAAAGCAAGAGGAGAAGCAGGATTCAGGGAAAATGATGGCTTGGGTGGGGCATCACTGAGCAATAAGTACCCAGACAGCAAAATATCTTCTTTTCCCCACCTCCAACAGCCAATATGTAAAATCTGTTTTTATTATTTCACCTTTAAAAAGAAATGAGTCAGCATGACCCTTAGCTCCAGTCCCATTTTCACTCTCCTGCTGCTCCTGCATTAGTTCAGGGTGTCATCATTTCTCACCTACATGATGATATCTACCTGCTTCATCCGTCTAAGTGGCTTCCTTTCCTCTCCAGTCCACTACCCAGCCCCATCCATTCTCTACATCGCACTGAATGTGTCTCTAAAACCTTCTCATCTGATTGTCATGGCTTTGCTGAAAATTCTACAGAGAAGGCTCATTTCTGGAAGATACAGTCCAAACCCCACAGCATGTGTGGGCTCCAAGGCCTCTCATGATCTGGCTGCCCAAATCATTCCAACTCCGCCCTCTGCCATTTCTTCACCACTCTTCCTGTAAGTCCACACTGTTCGCACTTTCCTGAACAGAAGGTGCTCAGGCTTCCATTTCTGCATTGTGTTGCTCAAAAAGTCATGATGTATATTTTCAATGTTTTTCTATGCAAAAATGTGTCATGACTTTTACAATGACCCAATATTTCTCACTTCTGCTGTCAATATAGAGTTTTCTCCATCCTTCTCTATGCCAGGTAACACAATACTTTTTTAAGACAAGCCAAGACAAATATCACATTTTCCATTAAGCCTTCTCTGATTCCCCCACAGTGCCACTTGCTCACTCCTTTATACTTCTGTTGTACTTTGCAGCAATCACAGCACTTACCTCACTCTACCATCATTATTAGTTTCCTGTTTGTCTCCTCCATTAGATTGAGAGCTTGCTGGGAGAAGTCATCCTGAGTGGGGATCAAGGTATTTATATGTGTGTGTGTGTATGTGTGTGTGTGTGTGTGTGCATGCGTATGCATGTATGTGCGTATACACATACATACATATACATATAATATGTATATACGTGTATATATATGGACACACATACACTAAAATAGAACAGACTAGCCAAGAACCAGGGTGGCCAGGTCAGCATAGATGTAAAGGAAAAGGATGGCGAGACCATGGTCAGTCACATTAAGAAAAGAACTGAGTTGAAAATTAGATCAAAAAGGTTTTAAGACAAGTCACAGAATGAGGCAAAATCAGAGTCAGAAAGGCCTGAGCAGTATTCGAACAATCAGCACTGGACTCACTGAGAGCCCAGTTAACCAAGTGGGAAACTACACACCCACTAGTAAGGGGTGGGGACTTCTTGATAATAACCGGTCAGGATAGTGACAGTCCCAGGATGACACTGATAAATTCCTGTTTCAAAAAATCCCACTGTAGGGACCAGCAGTTAGCGTAATGGCTATGTCACTGGACTCCCACGTAGTCAACCGCAGTTCGAGTCCCGGACCCGGTGGCTTAAAACTCACGCTGGGCGCGTGTGCATGCATGCCCAAGATCCCGAGAGGAGAATGGAGGAGAAGGGATTGCAGTGTGGCCATCCCCCCTGGGGGTTGACTTCTCGCTTTCTGCATCTCTGTTTCTCTCTCTCTCTGTCTGGTGAGCGCACGCGCCCTATAGCAAAAACCTCTCCAAAAAAAAAAAAAATCCCACTGTAAATCCACAGTCCTGAAACCTGAAACTACACACGACAGTTCCCTGTCTATTCCCTCCCCCATAACTGAACCTCAAAAGCACTGTCTCTAATTAAAGTGGTCCCAAACTCCAGCACCTACTTTTATTTCCCCCCATCTAATACAGCTCTCATTTTCAAAATAATTATTTTGAATCTGTTTACCTGTGCTCACTTCAGTAGCACAAATACTAATATTGAATCTGCTTACCTTTCTCAGGCTCTATCATATTGTTTGTGTAAATATACTCTCCCACATCCACACGCATAACCGTCATGCTAGCAAGGACACCACCGTGATGCATACGAAGACGGTCTCATACCAGGTACCTGTGCTCAGGTGATCTCTACATGTTGCCTCATTGAGTCACAAGCCAGTAAGGCAGATATCATTAAATACCTATTGCTGTTAATAGTGTTAACTCCATTTAAACATTATAAAACAAAGCATAGAAAGATGAAGGAGAAACAGAGGAATGTGAATATCCCCAAGATTTCACATGAAGAAATGAGAAGTCAGGACCAGCAGATAGTATAATGGTTATGTCGCTGGACTCCCATGCAGTGGACTGCAGTTTGAGTCACGGACCAGGCTACTTAAAACTCATGCTGGACGTGTGTGCATGCATGTCCAAAATCTCGAGAGGAGAATGAAGGCAAAGGGATTGCAGTGTGGCCATCCCCCGTGGAGGATGATTTCTCACTTTTTGTCTCTCTGTTTCTGTCTCTCTGGTGAGTGCATACACCCTACAGCAAAAATCTCTAAAAAAAAAACAAAAACAAAAAAAAAACAAGTGAAGATGAAATGAGAAGTCAAGAGTCAAATTTACCCTGTCTGAATCGAAATCTTCTTTCACTGTATCATTTCTCTCTCCTCTCTAGGCCTAAAGGACACAATAAAATAATGAAAATTGTTGTTATACTAGTAACAAAATTATTATTAGGGAAGAAGTACTGGGAAAGTTAGATTGTCTCCATACACAAACTGACCTTGCAGTCAGGGACAGCTTGATGGTAAGCACAAACTCCTTAAATAATCAGTGACTTTTCTATTCTTGCTATTAGTTAAAACGTCTCATCAAACCTTGAAGGTTTAACTTTCTGGACAGGAACCTGGGATCACTGAATCAAGGCTGCTGTCTTCAAGAATAAAAGTGCTGACAGGCCATTTTGGGCAGAATAAAGGAAAGTTGAGATTTCAGAGTAAATAGAGAGAGGTAACCTGGAAGAACCACATGAAGCTGGAGCAAAGTGGAAAGACAGCCTGGTTACACTGGGAGGCAACCCGCACCTGTGGCCACACTGCCCACCCCCAGTGAGCAGTTACGAAATATGCCAGAGATCAAGAACCTCTGCCTAAGGATAAGAAGTATATTATGTTAGGGCTGGTAGGTGGCATGGTGGTTAAGGGCGCTGGACTCCCACATGGCCTACCACAGTTAGAGTCCCAGAACTGGAAGCTTGTTTTCTTCCTTTCCTTCTCTGTTTTTCTCTCTCTCACTCTGTCCCTCTCTAGTTAAATTAAAATAAATAAACAAACTTAAATAAAATATATTTTTGAAAAATAGACATATTATGTTTGCTCAAAACCAAGGGGCCTCTTGTACTGCGGGTTGAGTTCTCTTTCCAAGTCTAATAATAAAGGTCATTCTAGTTTAAAATTTCTGACTTATGTAGTCCAAGTTCTTACTGCCTTTGTGGGCCTGCCCTGTGTATCTGAATCCTAGTCTTGGATTTTCCTGTTGTTCTCCATACATTCATGACAACTCAGCATACACTGAAGATGATGGAACCGTTTGGGGGTTCACCCTCCAGAGGAATATGGCAGAGTAGAATGTGATGGTTTGTATGTTCCCTCAAAATTCATGGGCTGAGATTTGGTTATGACAGGATTAAGAGGATAAAAAAACTTAATCAGACCATGGTGCTGAAAGGTGGAGTCCTTGGGAAGAGATAGGATTAAGGTCATTAGGGCAGGGCCACCATTATTGACTCCTGATGGTTTTACAAGAAGAGGGACTGAGACAGGCAGAGACATGAACACACAGGGACACGGAGTCCTCCTCTCTCCGATGGGATACATGTGACCCTGTGGCCCCACCAACAGAAAACTGCTCAATGCGGCCCCTGACCCCTGACCCTCCAAACTGGGAGCCGAATATATTTCTACTCTCTTAAATTGCCCAGACTTGGTTATTTTCTGTTACTCACAAGAGAATAGACTAGAACATAGGACATGCTTGATAATAAATCTGCTTCAGAGCTTTATCAGTGCAGAGACCATTCATCCCTACTTACAGTCTAGAGTCTGTTCTGCAGCACCTTCAAAAAAGCTGGTGAACACGTTCAGCCATCAGAGCAAAAGCAAATGGACACAGCGATCTGGAAACGGTCTAACCCCGTAAGCTGTCGGGGTTTATAGACCATAGCATTCCGAACAGCAGAAAAGCAGGAGAGTCCAGTTAAGATTCTGCTTGACTTACATCGCCATGGAAACCCCTGGAGTAATGAATAGTTTGGAGGGGAGGAGGTAGTGTGCCTAAGCCAAACATAGCCAAAAATGCCTGTCCCCTAGGTTAGGGATTCTTACTGTGTGCATCTGTGCATGTGGACCAGAGAGACTTTGGCATTCTTTGAAGTCATGGGAGGGGCATGGAGATCCACCCATTCGGGCTTGGCCTCAGAGACCAATAGAACACGAAGTTTCCCTGAAAAATCAGAATAAAGGCATGAAAAAACACCTAGACCAGAGACACAGGCCTAGGAACTTCGATATAAACACACATGTGCACATGCACACGTCCTGGACAGAACACAGAAGGCACTCACACCCCGACATACATAGTCACCCTAAAATGAACTCAGGGCAGCAGAAACAAACATGCGATCTAGAGGAAAGACGTGGACATGCTGCTTCAGACAGGTCAATTTCTAGGTCCTAAGAGGGCAGAAGAGAGAGCAAGGGCCAGAGACGCCCCTTATCCCACAGGGAGATCCAGGCAGACCCTTGGAAGAGACACAGGCCTGAAGATCTGGGCACCTGTAGAGACAAGCTCAGGCTCTGAGACTTCCAGAGACGCAGGAAAGCGGGTGGATGGACACAAACCCAGGCAGAGGAGCAGGATCAGGGGCAGCCTCGGGTGAAGCCCTGAAGGAAGACAGAAGAACCCCACAGGCAGGTTTCAGAGGCACGCAAGGACTCGGAGCCCCGACTCTCAGCTGCTCTGAGTCCCTCTGGTCACTCCGCTGCCGGCCCGCCCTCCCGCTCCCCTGGGTCGGCCCAGCGGCCTCCCCGCGCCCCGGGCTCCCCTCCCAGCCGGGCGGGCATTGCCCGGTGCTGACGCGGGAGCTGCCTTCACACCAATGAGGCCGCGGCGCTCCCGGGCCCTGCCCCTCCCCCGGGAAGGTGTGTCCCTGTTTCCTCACCTGAAACTTCCTAGGAGGACCGATCCCTCCCTCCCGGCCGGGCGGACAGGGGCGGGCCGCGGGTGGGGCGGCTGGGGCGGCCGGGCCTGCGCTGGGGACCGCAGCCGGCGCCTGGGACCTGGAGGGGACTCCTGGGCCGAGGCAGCATGTGACACCGACCAGGTGAGTGCCCTCTTCCCTTCTCTACTCTTGGCTCCGGACGGCTGTAGAGCCCGGCGGAGGTAAGGCCGGGACAGGAAGGAAGAAGAAACGAGGCCTTCCCCAGGGATCGGCCCCAGCCTCGGTCCCGGGGCGCAGGCTCCGGAAATGGGGGGCTGGGCCTGTGGGCCAAACTCTGGGTGTGGAGCTGAGAACCCTGGTCGACCAGAGGAGTGGAGCTGGAGGAAATGCTCTTGCCTGAGAAATTCGCTTCCGGTTGGTTGGCCTTGGAAATGGGCACCCTGCCCCCAGATGTTCCCTGGGCCAGTGATTCAATATTCAGCGCTCTGTCTTCCCAGGCCAGGCCCTGGGGAAAGCTAACTCCTATAATGAAGAATAACTGAGCTTCCCTTTCTAGACTGTTCCGTACCTGGAGATGTGTGATTGTCTCCTTTTTCCTAACCAGGCCTGGGCCTGCCTTCATCTTCATACACATCTGCCCCGGGTGCTCTCTGCTCTTTCTCCCTGGAGCCCCGGAGCTTCAACCTGTCTCTGGCCCTGCCACCCACCCTATTTCCTGACTCTGGGGAGCTTCTCAAAGCCTCATATCAATCACAGTTGTATTCTTAACTTAGGGAGGTGGAAAAGCTGAGTACAGTTGGGGGCTGGGGTGGGTGTGCCCGAAGAAGGGTTCTGAGCATCATTTATGCTGCCTTCCAGCAAGACTGCAGGGAGAGCTGATCCTGAAGCCACTTGATTTCAGATCTGGGCCCCCTTCCTGGATCTTGGTTCCCAAGACAGATTTACCCTCCTGTCTACCTAGAAGTGAACTCTGGCCAGGGCTCTTGTCAGATTGAGGGGGAAGGGCATGCCATGCAGACAGGGGAGAGAGTGGTGATTTTCATTGTGAGCGTCCTTGGTCTTGGGGTCTTTTGCCTTCCCACTGAACTCTATGGTCTTGAGTCCTTGGCCTACTCCAGAAATCCTAACTCCCTGCTAAATAGCTTCAATGTGACCTCTTTCCCAGACTTCCTGCTTCATCTGTACCTGGAGTATGAAGTTCCTGGCCTAGGACCTTGCAAAGTGGATATCATTTGTTAACCAATCTGTGAGCTGAAAATGGAAACCTTGACTATTGAAGGGGTACTTGGGGAACTGGGAGGGAGGCATTGGGGGGTGTCAGTTCTGAGGGAGGCTGTCTTAACAAGAAGAGCGTATGGCATTCTTCCTATTAGGAAAGACAGAAATGCTGAAGGATGCACATAAATCTTCTTATTAAAATAATAAGTACACAATAAGTACAGTGATTCTCCGTAAAGTCAAGGGTTGTCACATGTTAGGGGCCCCTGGAGTGGGTGGCTGCCCATAACATGGTCTGTCTGAGGTTCTGTGGCTGCATTACGTTCGGTCTGTGGGATAGACAGGAACACGTCATTCATGGTGTCTGCAGTGGTCAGTCACTCTGTGGTATGGACAGGTGCAGGGTCACTAAAGGGTCATCAGTTGCATAGGAGTAGTGCAGTGTTACTCAAGTGTCAGTGGTGAAGACACCAATATGTGACCTACAGCATCTGTATAGACAGGGCTGGATCTCTCAGTGTCTGTGGAGTATAAACAGGAGCTGGTCGCTCGTAGTGTCTGCAAGATGGACTGGAACAAGTTCCCTCGCAGGGTCCATATTACAGGACAGGAACAGGTCACTAGCCCTGACTCGTGGCCTCAGATGGTCTGGCCGGGTATAAGTCAATATTGCCTCTAATAATGTTTTTATGTAAGACCATCTGTTCTACACAACAGGAATAGGTGATGTGGTATTTTCAGGCGTTGGAGAAAGATAAGAAATGTTTATTATAGGTTTTACAGGGATGGTATTTTCTTACAGTGAGTGGAATACAGGTTGTAGCAGTCAGTGGTACAGGTGCTGGGTATAAGTCAATATTGCCTCTAATAATGTTTTTATGTAAGACCATCTGTTCTACACAACAGGAATAGGTGATGTGGTATTTTCAGGCGTTGGAGAAAGATAAGAAATGTTTATTATAGGTTTTACAGGGATGGTATTTTCTTACGGTGAGTGGAATACTCACCGTAATGTAGCAGTCAGTGGTCCAGGTGCTGAGGGCAGTCATTTCAAACAGTGATGAAGGTATGACATCCATGTGGTGATCTTATTTTCTAAATCAAAATGAAGATGTATCTTTTGATGGGGGGAGGGTATTTTTCTAACAAGAGCAGCAGTATAGAAGATTTTGTATAAGTGCAAAAGTATTGTAATTTCTGTGATTTGTGTTGTAAATCAGACTACTTAAAATTGTCACCTACTATGTCCTCAGGGTGGCCAGAAACCTGCCTGTTTGGTCATGTCAGGCTGTATTGCATAGACTGCAAGTGTGGGTCACTCTGTGTATGTGCATGTGCACACGTGCTATGGCTCAGAATATTAAAATTCAGAGGGCATGGGGACCAGCAGGTGGTGTGGTAGTTAAGGCATTGGACTCCCACATGGCTAACTGCAGTTTGAGCCCTAGACCCAGCATCTTGAAACTCACGCTGGTTACATGTGTATGTGTGCCCAAAATACCCTGAGGGGAGAATGGAGAAGGGCTTGCAGTGTGACTATCCTCTGCGGGGGTGGAGGTGACTTTTTACTTTTTCTTTCTCTGTCTCTCTCCAGGGAGCACACAGGCCCTATGACCAAAAAAAAGAAAAAGGAAAGAAAAAGTGCCCAAAATACCCTGAGGGGAGAATGGAGAAGGGCTTGCAGTGTGACTATCCCCTGCGGGGGTGGAGGTGACTTTTTACTTTTTCTTTCTCTGTCTCATAGGGAGCGCACAGGCCCTATGACCAAAAAAAAGAAAAAGAAAAGAAAAAATGTTCAGAGGAGCATGGTCTTCAAAAATATATATAGCAGAATAATCAGTGTGATGGGAATAATCGGTGTGACGGGAACAGGGGATTGCCTTCAAAATACAGGCCTTTGCCTAGTGACTAGAAGTGGGCAAGAGCTAAGATACTGGGTGACAGGAGACAGTGACCTCTGTCACATACTGCTAATGGGGTGACTTGGAGCTTTCTCATAAAACGTCACATTTGGTTGGGGTCATAGAGATACACAATGCCTCTGGTCTTCAGGAAGGCCAGGTTACCACGATGCTGTGCCCTCTCTTTGCCTGTGCTCCAATAACAGTGATTATTCCCCCCCCCCCATGGAGAAGAGATGAGGACGCACAGGCCCTATGACCAAAAAAAAGAAAAAGAAAAGAAAAAATGTTCAGAGGAGCATGGTCTTCAAAAATATATATAGCAGAATAATCAGTGTGATGGGAATAATCGGTGTGACGGGAACAGGGGATTGCCTTCAAAATACAGGCCTTTGCCTAGTGACTAGAAGTGGGCAAGAGCTAAGATACTGGGTGACAGGAGACAGTGACCTCTGTCACATACTGCTAATGGGGTGACTTGGAGCTTTCTCATAAAACGTCACATTTGGTTGGGGTCATAGAGATACACAATGCCTCTGGTCTTCAGGAAGGCCAGGTTACCACGATGCTGTGCCCTCTCTTTGCCTGTGCCTCCAATAACAGTGATTATTCCCCCCCCCCCATGGAGAAGAGATGAGGACGTTGGCATGCTAACATAATGGGCAGTACAAAAACTCTCCTGAGATGCTGTGACATGAGTCAAACCATGTTTCAGATTTCCTTTCGCCCTGTCACATGCTTGCTTTGTCTTGCCTGATTGCAGGATCAAGTATCACGGACATGGGGTATGTTGCCCTGTGGGGAGATGGTGGCTAACAGGTGACCACAGATATTTCCATATAGATCCAGACAGCACTGGGAATAGTGTCAGTGGGATTGCAGCAGACCGACGTGCACTGTGTCACTAATGGAACCTGAAAATATCTGGGTAGCACATTATATGTAGATATCACCTGGATATGGCAGAAACACACATATGTTCAGGGGGTACTTGCTTTGGGGACAGGAAGGTGTGTTTGGGGGATAAGGCCTGAACAGCACAGATATGGGTGAGGGGAAACTACCAGCTTAGCCACATGGTCTCCATGGGCAAGTTGGAGCCAAGTTTCAGAGAGTGCCTACAGGGAGAAAGTATATCATTTACCGTGTGGTTGAGAGAATGGGATCACATCACAGTATCGCCCATAGTGATTATAGTATTTTGTACTTAAGAGCTAGATATAGAGAGCAAATTATACACCATGTCAGTCAGTTAACTGGAAAAGGATGGGGAAGGTCTTCGACATGGGTACACTTACAAGGAGCCTTCAAAAACTTCAACGAAAATTCATGGCATGAAAAAACTATGCATGAATTTTAAAGGATGTTTTCTTGTGTGTGCAAAAATAAACTCATTCTTTAATTCCATTTTCCACAAACTTGTTGAAGTCCCTCATATGTTAAACATACCTTTTGCCCCATATAGATGGTATCTGTGTCTGTGGGGTGGCCAGGAATTTGTCACATACTGCATCTGCAGGGTGGCTGGAAACCTGCCTGTTTGGTTATGTCAGGCTCTATTGCACAGACTGCAAGGGCGGCTCACTTCTCGTATGTGCGTGCACACGTGTACAGTGGCTCGGCAGGACAGCAGGCATTCTGGGCATGCAGCTTCAACTTTACACCTGGACTAGACAGGAAAGGCGCAGAGCCAGGTACACTGTGGAGTTCAGAGGCCCGTGGAGTCTTACCTGCAGTAGTCACTTGGTGGCTTCTTATGACTGGACACCTGGTGCTTCCAAGAAACTTAGTCAAGAGATCTTGGTTCTGACTTGCCTGTAGTATTTGCTTAGGGAACTTGAGCAAGTGTCTAGGGTCTTTGACCTTTAATTTTCTCATTCATAAATTGAGCAGTTGTCTGTGTGTTTGTAAAGATCCTTCTCGCTTATGAATCTTCTGTTCCTCTCTTATACTTATTCCCGCTCTCAGGTCAACAAGAATTACAATACCTGCCATTTCTATAACTCTTAAAAATAATAGTGCGCTTTGTTACATTATCTTATTTTATCTTCTTTAGAACTAGGATGGGAGCATTTTACCCCCTTTTCAGAGATAAGAGAGTGCATGTTCGAATAAATTAAATGATTTCTATAATTTGTCTTAAAACTAGCGAAGGTGGAAAAAAAGCAGTGCTAAAACTTGAACCATCCTCTTTAACACTGTATCTTCTTTCCTTCCTTCTTGTCTTACATATTTGTTGAGGCCAAGACAGCTTCGGGCAGAGGGGCAGTTAATATGGCAGTGTCCATGCCCTTATGGAGCCTGTGGTCTAGCCTGGAAGATAGACATTAAGTATGTCATTATAAGTGCATGGTGTGTTGAGGAAAAACAAAGAATTCTCTGGGGCAGGAGAAGAGCTTCCAGGCAGAGGAATGGCACCTGTGAAGCTCTATAGGTGAGAGAGAGAAGGGGTTGGATCAAAGAGATTGAGAGTCAGTGGACTGAGCAGATGCTGATAAGTGATGCGCTGTTGGAGAGGAAGGCAGAGGCCAGGTTGCTCAGAGCATGGAACCCAGGCAAGGTAGTTGGGTTTCATCTCAAGAGCATACAGAGGCCACTAAAGAATCTTAACTAAAAGTGGTACTTTTGCTTTTTTTTAAAGAGGTTTTTGCCTAGGGCACATGTGATTGCCTGAGAGAGAGAGAGACAGAGATAGTGAGAGAGAAAGTGAGAAATCACCCCCCAGCGGGAATGGCAATGCCACAGTCCTTTCTCCTCCATTCTCCCCTTAGGATCTTGGGCACCCACACACACATGCCCAGCATGATTTTCAAGCCACCAGATCCGGGACGCAAACCACCATCTGCCATGTGAGAGTCCAGCAACATAGTCACTACACCAATTACTGGTCCCAGACATGGTGCTTTGAAGATCACTCAGGTGCTGTGTGGACAGTGAGATGGAATAAAACAAGAAATGTGGAGGCCAGTGGCCAACTGTGCCCCAAAGGCAGAGCCTTGGTAAGAGGGCAACAGCATGCACCAATTTGAGCTGTGAAAATGGCAAGAACTAAACAATCTAGAGGGATTCTTAGGAGGTGGGTCCAGTAGGACCTGGTGATTGGCTAGATACAGGGAACCTAGGGCAGGAGAGAAATGAGAATTTTATTCTTTATGTTCCAGCAAACACCCATCTCCTACTTTGCAAAGAATTTAGAAGCCAACAAATAGGAGCTGCTTCAGTTTGCATGTCCACACCTTCCATTTTCCCTCCTTGATCAATGCAAAAGGTCACTCTCTTCCCAAAACATATGTGAACAGTATTTTTCAAGCACTTAATATGGACCAGATATTGTGCTAGGCATAGATAATGGATTAAGACAGTTACAGTTCTTTTTTGTTTTTTTTTTTTTTAATTTGCCATTGAGTATGTGCATTTGCTATAGAAACAGAGAGAAAGAGAAAGTGAAAGTGAGAAATCACCTCCTGATGGGAATGGCCATGCCACAATCCCTCCTTCTCATTCTCCACTCAGGATTTTGGACACACACTCATGCCCAGCGTGGTGTTCAAGCCACTAGGCCAGGACTCGAACTGCAGAGTTGACCATGTAGGATCCAGTGCCTTAACCATCATGCTGCCTACTAGCCCCCAGATACAGTTCTTAATCCCAAAAAGTTTACCAGTTATTGGTTGAGATAGACAGTAAATGAAAATACCCATATAATTACACAAATTTCAAAACTTTGGTAGAAATTTAAAACATGACTTCGTTTTGGTACAAAAAAATTGAAATACATGCATAGTTGATTATAAAATGCACTGTCCATGAATATTTGAAGACTCAGAATATAATCATAATAATGTAAATGCTACAAAGGAGAAGTAAAGTGAATTATAATTAAGTGGTAGAAATAAAAATAGTTTAACCCAGTTAGTATACTGGGATGATAGAAGGGATAAAACTAGGAAACTGTCTTTTCGCAAAGAATAAGAAAGAGTATTTCTCACACCAGTTGTGTCCAATACTGACAAGAACCACTCAAAATAAGTCCACAGAGCCTGGCATGGGATGAAGCTTGTAGGGAATGTTGGCAGAATGGTTCTTACTGAAGCTGGGGTGGAGGCCAGCAGGATGTGAGGATATGAAGAGAGCAGAGGGGAACAACTCCACCTAGACATTTAAAAGACGAGAAGGACATAGGAATGCTTGCATACCAGTGAAGTGGTTCTAGCAGGGAAGGTTTACCTGTGAAAGAAAGAGATCTTCCATCGATTAGGCCCCTGAGGAGACAGGTTAAAAATGTGAGGCTTGTACTGACCAAGGAGGGCAGATGGAAAGAGGGGTGATACAAGGCTCTTTGGTTAACAAGAGACTGAA